CCAGTGCAAGCAGCTTCTCCTGCTCGAAGCAGGAACCTTTGTCGCTAGCAGCCAACGCATCAGCCCTATTCTGATAGAATGTTTTTGAAACCTTTTCCCTCTGACTTTTTCCTCCGTGGAGCTTCCTTGGCACTTGCAAATGGACATGAACTTTTGCCCTTCTTCGACGACATATTTAAGCTTATATCAACAATCTACAAACTGAGAACACTCAGAACAGCTCGTCGGCTACCAAACACAAACGTTTGACGATCGTACGTGCGCGGCAATCTGTGAAACAAGTTTTTAATGCAAATTTATTCCTCATGACAACTCGTTGACAGCTATCAATTAGAGGTGATTAATGCAAAGAAACGTTTTTCGTATATAACTTTGTTTAGAATCAATCTTTTTTCACATTTTTTTTTTCGCTGAAGCGCTAATTATGGCTGAAGTGCTTACCAAAATGAAAATTTGGTGGTTACAAGATTTGTCTTGATTTTTGGTAGCGCCAAACAAAGTTCATCAGCCTTGTCTGGAGTGTGAATGGGACTTATCGCAGACCAACGCTAATGAGTCTGTTGCTAAGGGGGCGATGACCATTCGTGTTGAAAGCCACGCCCAAGTAACCTGCATCAGGTGACGCCGTACGGAAGTAAGGCGAGTCTCTATCACCGCACCAGGAATTGCAGTCCTTGTAACAATTCCGCGTGTGACCCGAAACGAAGAATCCAGCGTAGAACGAGGTATGGCAGATCAACAGCTGGTAATGGTACGCGTTATTTGCTCCCACGCTGTTCCACTTTCCATAGGTGCCAGCATTTTTCCCATAGTTATCAGCGGCCATTATGGACTGGTTGACTAATCGCTTGAAGTAGGTCTTGTTTCCAGTTTGGTGATCAACAAAAATAATTTCTGTAAACTGAAACAATAACAACAAAAACAAGTTGTTCCTTATGTTATTGTTTCTTAAACTTGTTCATACGTCTGAGAGAGAGATTTTGAGCTGGTAAAAGCAACAGTTTCGATTCCAAATTTACTTTCTAAGCAGTGAAATAAATTCCAGTTGGCGGTACGAAAGGAACATATATAGATGTCTTATCAAATTTTGACCATTGTGTTGTTCATCCGCTGAGTGAGTCTTTGCATAGAAATGTGTTTCAGAAGTGCTTTCGCATCCCAGTCTCAGGCTAAGAATTTCAAGACAAAGAAGTGTCATTTCTCAAACTTTAATTCCAATAGATTTTTGTAATTTTATTTCTTCTTTTTCTCTTCAGGTTTGGTTTCAACTGAGAAGATATGTCAAAAAATGGAGAAAGAGTCTCATCACATTTCCAAACA